ATGAGGGTCGAGTGGGTAGAGCCAGGGGCAGGGGTGGAAGCTCTGAAAGCCCTGCCATGGCAGGAGAATCCCCTTGGCTGTTAGCATTACCGGGCTCCTGACACACGGGTGCAGTGCCAGCACCCGGGGGGTGTTCAGGCCGGTCTGTTTGCACGTTCCCCAGCAGACGCTATGACCCGCCTTGCCGTGAGCAGCCCGGCGCTAGGCCAGACCCTCCCAGTCTGGGGGGGGGTTGCTTCACAGGGGGGTCCCTAGACCTGCCAAAGGAGGCAACTTGATTCCCCTCTGCAGCCAGAGGTCCCGAAGCAGCCCCCTGCCCCCGGCATCCCACCCCTTGTGTTTCTGAGTCCCCCCAGGCAGCTGCAGCTGCGATTCCCTGGACGTGGCGGCTCTGGGTCAAGCCACACCTGCGTGCTTACGGGACAGCGCTGGCTCTGCTGCAGCAAGGCCAGGGCGATCCCTTGGCTCTGCCAGGACAGCCAGGTCCACGCCAGCCTGGACCCCCTGGGCACGGGGGTTTGGGACGTGTCTGCCTTAACTGCAGGGGCCAGAGGGCTGTGGGACCCGCGCGGAGCTGGTCGGAGACGTGGACGGGATGTGGTTTGGCCATGGGTTTGATTCTGGGGCTGGTCGGTAGTAACTGGTCAGTCCTTCGGGGCTGGAGCTGATACGGACCGAGCCTTTTAGTGCTGGAGGCTGCAGAGGAGAGAGGAACAGGGGCAAACCCCACTCAGCCCATCACTTACCCTCCAGTGCAGGAGGGTAACACAGTCCTGGACAACATGGCTGCAGGACACGGCAACTTTTATCATCTTACCTGCCGGGCTAAATGCAGCAAATGCAGGAAGCGCGGCCCCATGGGTGTCAATCATGCCAATGCCGTGCATGTCTGTAGCAGCGTGGGCGCAGGAAGCCCAGGGGCAGGCTGGTTTGGGTCACAGCTGGTGGCTGTAAGGGCTGATTGCAGCCTGCCTAGGCAATGGGGCCAGCGGAGAGGGATAATTAGCAGGCAGGAAGATACAAGGCTCCCAGGAAAGGGCTGGAGTGAGGATTTTAGGGAGAGGAGTTAAAGACAAGCAGACAGATGAGAGGAGCTGGAGACAGGCGAACAGTTGGGAGCTAAGAGCCTGAGAGAGGAGAGCCGGTGGGGGAGCTCCTGGTGCAACCGTGCAGGGGTTTTATCCTGAGAGGTGTCCTGAGGCCATGAAGGGGACAGCGAGATACGGAGATGGCAAGTGTGGGCATTGCGGGAGTACATGGACCGGAGACCTGGAGGTCTGAGAGATCGTGCATTGCTCCGTGGTTTACAGCGTGTTGATCGTGTCCCGCCCGAGGGAGCTAATAAACCCCGAACCTGCTACGTCCGCCAGTCGCGCTGCCCACGAGGGCTCGTGCAGCATCGGCCACTGAGGGCGGGGAGCCAGCGCGGCCCATCTGCACGGGGCACAGTCGGTACAAGTGGTGACCGTGACCAGGATAGCAGGGCTGCAAGGGAGCTTGTGAGGTCCCATCGAGTCCAGCCCCCTGCTCGAGGCAGGATTAGCCCTAACTAACCCATCCCAGCCATGGGTCTGTCCAGCCTCTGGGGGAAGTCCCTCCTCATCTCCAGCCTCAGTTTCCCCTGCTGCAGCTTGAGGCCATTGCTCCTAGTCCTGTACCCTGCAGCCCATCTCCATCCTCTCTGCCATCACCCTTCAGGGGTTGGAAACCTGTTATCAAACCCCCCTCGGTCTTTCTCCCAGAGCCTCGAGTCTAACGAGCACGAGCGCCTCCGGGCCCAACCCTCGCATGTACAGAGGGCGCAAGGGTGCAAAGCCGCCTGCCCCCGGGACGTCCCCCAGCTCAGCCAGGCCTGCACGGACCCTCTTTACCGGGCCCAGATGCAACGGGGAGCATGACCGGGTGACACGGGAATGCCAGGGAAGGGGTTCGGGGCTGGGCAGCATCTGGCGCAGCGCCCCGTCTGCGCCCGGGTCCCCCCAACGGGACGCTAATATTTTATTTAAAGCGCGGGCGTGGGGCGGGGGCCGTGATGTATCGAACGTATTGAGCAAATGCTAATGTGTAATAGCGCGCGTCAGGGGGCTCGTCCATCACCCCCGCCGCCTTCTGGGGGGATCCATATCTAATTAACAGTAATGAATGAGGGAACCGGGCCAGCGACAGTGCGCCAGGTTGTTATGGAAATGAGGCAATCCCATTAGGCAAAACACTTAATTAAACAAAACCTCCTGGAAGGGAGGTGCTGGCTGGACCCTGGGCCGGGTCCTGGGGAGCCGTGCTCTTGGGCCGCCCCATCTTGGTTGTCCCCATGTCGAGGGGACGGGGGACTCGCGTCCTCCTCTGGGCCAAAGGCCGCAGCCCCCGGAGAGACTGGGCAGCTTGTCGCCGTGTCCGGAGCTGGCTGGGTTGTGCAGCCCCTGGCGCCGAGGCTCGGCCCTTAACTGCAGCCTGATTGGCACCAAGACTGGGAGCTCGGCCCTCACGTGCCTGTGGAAACCGCATCACTACGC